GAATAATGTAATTTAATAACGAGTGTACATTTCCACTCAAATTTATTTATTCAGTTAGGGTCAGTCAGAATTTCCTTCATGCATGGGCAAATGCTGCCTTGTTGGTACAATGAACTGATTCGACTGCCTACCTTGGAAAACAAACCTCGTTTGAATTTAAAGGTCGCAGTCGAATTTAGTCGAATTTGGTGCTCAAAATGATAGCTTTTCTCCCATCCATGATGGAAACTCTACCTAGCCCTGAATAAATCAGGGTGTTTAGATTTATCAAAAGACCGTTTCTTATTTACTTTTCTTTGAACTTTTCCATTATCATGTTTTTCCATGGTGTTCCCAATGACCTAGTGGTCGTTGGGGTCAGATCAACAACAATGTCAAGCTGTTGTCTTCCGCTTGATACTTTGGTCATACAGCACGACACCAGGCTCTTAGGAAGGGAAAACCTCGCAGGCAAGACACTGAGCAGGAGCACAAGGGTAGACAACGTACAACAATGTGGGCCGGAAACGTACTAATACGGGACTGAGTTAAATAATATTATGACAACGTGCACGAGAGTAGCAGCAAGCGACCGTAATCCGTGGAAGGTCAAAAGACGCCAGCCTCTGAGCGAGAGATGACACCTTCAGGTATCAAGTTACAGTGACATTGTGTTTTAGTGGGGGATCACTAAGGTACGTCCTTTATTAAGGGGGGTGGGCTACACCTGGAGGCTATCTCGCTTATTACTGTACCGAATTTTACCACATTTCAGACATATAACAAGCATAGTAAGGAGTCTTGAAATCCGCAATCAAATTTGAGAAAAAAGTTTCGTTTCCATGGATACGCCGCCATATTGGATTTTATTGACATGTCTTACGTAATGAATACCGCACTTATCACTCATGGAAATTAATTGTTTTTTTGCATGCGTATTTACAAACATTAGATCTAAAAATGTGTCTGTTGTTTTTTTCCTAATCGAATTAGAAAATTTTAATGAATATTTTCCTGAGGTAGTATTCAAGTTTGAGAAAAATCCGTGAAAATCCACACTCCAGACACTACCAACAAAAATCTATTCCATATATAAAAAATTCAACAGAAATTTATTTTAGCATTACCTCTTCTCTTCATTCTGTGAAAATTTCATGAAGATTGGATGAATAATGGTGGAGTTATTCAAAAAAGTATAGAGAAAAGTAGCATTTTGAGAAAACGGCCGATAAAGAAAAATAAAATACTGACTTTATGAGGAAATGGCGGTTACAAACATGCCCGGTATGGGGAAAAATACGATTTTGGGGGGGTTCTTATGCCATGAAATAGTTGTAGGAGAGGCTGAGGAAGCTAAACATGCCTATAACTCAAATTCCATGATTTTGAGCCGAATTTTGATTTTGGGGGTGTAGCCCCCCCCCCCCCCCTTAAGCAAGATCATCCCTTCTCAAAAACAGGCCCCAGCACAGTGGAGACCTGTAAGAGCTCAAACACACAGGCTACACAAAGACCACACATAAAAAGTGCGTTGCCTTCAACATTACATTTTACAACTTGACCTGCAAACAGCAGCCAGACCACTGCGTCCAGATTTTTTCCGTCCACCGCACAATCTGGATTGCGTCAAGCATGCCATACATTTTCTGGTCTGTGCGGACAGAAAAGGGGAGTTGACGTCACTAAACACGCCGGAATACACATCCCGCTATACACTTCGCACGTGGCGCAAAATGGACGGGCGCAAAATGGACGATGCCGATGCATAGCTTATCGAACTCGTGCGGGCAAGAACAGCTCCTTGTTATTTATGATAACAAAAGACTAAAGTTCCACCAACAGAGATTTCAAAATGTTGTTTGAGTCATTCGAAAATATTTCAAGCATTTCTCAACATGAGCAAATGTTTGGGGCAACAATTTGAATTCTCCCAAAGCTCCCCGGTCTTTACAAATAGGGTGAATCCAGTGACGCCGTTTGGATGTTAGGGCACTAAAGCATATCTTGCGCTTCCTCGCGAGCACCATTTTGAAACCGGAAAAATCTGCATGGTCTGTATGGACCCTGTGTGAACGGTATAACCGCACTTTTCTGTTCAGAATTTTTCTGGCACGGAAAAAAATATGGTCTTTATGGAGCCTGTGTGTTTGTGCTCTAATGTTGTGTTGATTTCCTGCATTTGTGTGATACTGTGTGTTTTGTAACGTTGATCAAACATTGTTCCTATATAGTTTAATTTTTATTTTTGCATGCCATTGTAGACTAAATTTTCCCACGGGTATAAATAAAACTGAAACTTTTAACTTTTCGCTCTTTAAAAACTATTCCCACCCTTCCCACGACCGTTGGCCGTCCCGTAAACTGACCCTAAACGAAAACAGCACCATCAAGGTTCGTGAAACACGAGACTGCACTTTTACTCCCAGAATTTCTCCACTGTGCTAGTCTCTGACCTTGCAGTTAACCACCTCATTGCCAGGCCCGAGAACTGAGTGTCCATGAAAAGCTATGACTTTATCAATAGTATAGATCTTGGGTCGATTTAGACTTTTGACTATTTGCAAAAGTTCTGGTTTTAAAGCGTGCTCTTGGAACTCGATGCTGTTGGTACAAAGCCATTCTTTTATGTCGTCTCACCCAGGCCCCTCTTGTATGTTTCAACAGAGTACACGCCTTTAGATTATTATGACAGTGTGTTTTCAAGGGATTTGTGAGTGAGCTATTTTCAGTTCGTCAATAACACCGGACTTGTCTGTGTCGAAAAAGTGGTAAAAAATGACCAGCATGTCAGCGTGCTGTAAATACCTGATTTTTTGTTTCCACTGGGGCTCGAGATAAATACAAAGCCCAAATAAGCTATCTTTTGGGGTAAACAAACTACGATTTTAGAAAAATAGTTTTCGTAACGCCCAGGTCATTTCACTTTATTTTGCAAAATTTCAAATCGAAATATTGAGAACTGAGTGAGCAGGATTTTTCTAACCGTAGGCAACTGTGGCTTAACGACCTATAACTTGTTCATTTTTAATTGCACATTATATAATATAATAAAATTTGATTCCCTTCAATTGCAGACGTTATGGAGCCCTTTCAGCCAATGAAGTTACAACTTAGGCGTAGGCACTGCTATCTGAGGGCAACGGCGGAAGTTAGAGATGGAGTTGAAGGATACGCGGATATCATCATCATCATCATTCGGTGCCTTGCCGACTGGCGTGGGCGATCATGGACCTCCACTTCCATCTGTCTTGCGATGCAGCAATGGTGTCTGTTGTTCATGCTGCGCCCAGCCAAGCTGTTAACTTGTCCAGTATCTTATCCCTCTGTCTGCCTCTGCATCTCTTTCCATCAAACTTCCCTGTTGTTACTATACACTCCAATGCGTCTTTCCGCATTGTGTGTCCAATGAAATTTTCCTACCGTTTTCGTATATTCGAAATTTGTAATTTGCTTCAACCGAGACTTCTTCATTTGTTTTTCTCGCTGTCCATGGGATACGCAGCATGTGTGGTAGGTCTTTACTCACAGGAGTGTTCTACTCGACTGGCCGTGTAGGACAGTCGGTTCAGGAGATGTTTTTCGTGTGAGCACTTCGCAAGTCTGTGCAAAGTCATGATCATGTCAGCTGCTGTGTTGTGAGTTAATTGAGTGTTTGGAGAGTCACTACATGCCCCCCCCCCCCCCCAAACCAGCGCTGACATGACAGGAGGTTCTAGAACCGGGGAGGTGGTCTCACGATACGTTCTGAACGTGAGACCTTCCAGCCTGCTTGTTGTGGTTCCTGTAGAGTAACAGGAGCGGAATATACAGCTTGGGTCGGCTGGTTGAATTGTTTGTATTTGCGCTTGGATTCACAAGCGATGAAGACGGAGGTCGCCCACGTCTTGGTGCCTGAGCAACGCGTACTGGTTGCGACAGATCCACAAAAGCTGGTTCGAGTCGGTTGACAGAGATGTGTTCCACGTGACCACTTAGATCGACAAGAAAGGTTTTTTATCATGCCTTTCTAAAACCTTGTACGGACCAGTAGATCTATACGGGCGCTGTAGAGGTTTTTGGTGAGCGCCGCAGCGGATGAACACGAACTTGGCTGTGTCTAGTGACGAGTGAATGTTGGAGGTAGGTGCACAGTACAGTGATGTCGCCTAAGCTAGTTGTGACTGCATTTGGGATCGTAAGTTGGCGAGGCTCCGTGACTGGTCGAATGGTGAAGTGTCACTGGTAAAAAATTCACCCGGTACTCTGAGTGGTTCTCCATACACTAACTCGGTGACAGAAGTTCCCAGGTCCTCTTTTGGAGCAGTCCTCAAACCGAGCAGTACCCATCCCAGTTCATCGAGCCAGTTTGGGCTTTGGAGTTTTGCTTTGAGAACACTCTTAAGGGACCGGTGGAATCGCCCAATCAGTCCATTGGATTGAGGGTGATAGGCTGTTGTATGAAGAAGATTGGTACCAAGGCGCTCGGCCATCTCTCTCCACAAGGCAGGAGTAACGTGAGGGCCTCTGTCGGATGTGATGTCGATGGGGATGCCAAAACGGGTGATCCAGTGGTTGATGCACGGCCACATTCTGTTGTTGAGGTGTCCTTGAGTGGGATACCCTCTGGCCATCGTGACGCTCTGTCGATGATTGTGATGAGAGAAGCCCTACGATGGGGGTAAAGGACCTACAAGATCGACATGAACGTGACTGAACCTCTTTTCAGGCACTGAAATCTTCTCGATCGGTGCCTTAGTATGCTTTTGCACTTTGGATGCTTGGCAGTCCGTACATTCCTTGGCCCACTTGCTGACTTCTTTCCTTAGCCCATGCCAAACAAATTTCTGGGATATCAGGCGAACTGTAGCCTTCCTTCCTGGGTGAGAGAGGCTATGAAACAAACCGAAGACCTGTCGACGAAATGCTGGAGGTACAATTGGTCAAGGATGTCCGGTCGAAATGTCACACAGCAGTTCTGGTCCTCCAGATTCGATAGCCATTGAAACTGTGCGCAATCCTGGGGAAGGGGCGCTGTCGTCTGGAGAAGAGGTGTCCGTGCATTGGG